CTTAAGGTCCTTCAAATATTTATTGTGGTTTATGATTATTGTGAATGTGTTAGTGGAGTATCAATCAAGTGCCTTTATTGATTACTATAAAAATTCCTTTTGCAGTTACAATCCATATGGGCCGGAGTACATCTTTCCACAGGTTCAGTACCCAGAATTATGTCAATCCTTTTTTCTGAATCTGGAAGTTGATTTTAGACTGTTGCTATTAGCAGTGGCAGTTGTGATTATATTTCTTTCTTTTGCAGAATGTATACAATCCTCTTTCTTTCTTTTGTAGAATATATACAACCCTTACATGGGGCACCATTACTTTCAAGTTTATGGGTTTCCAGGAGCTGTAAATACAGCTGTTTACCCATTTGGTCAATTTGGTCAACCTATGTCTGGTGGGCCTGGTTATATGGCAGTTCAGGGCTACACAATGCCATCTAATCAGATTGTGCAATTGAGTGGACCAAATGTCAATGGAATGGCAAGTGCTCCTCGACCTGTGATTCAAGCACCCTATCCAGCTGGTACATTTTCTCCTAGAAATTTCATTTTCTTTGTTATTTCGTATGTTCAGGTCTTAAGTTACATGTTATATTATATCTAGGTATCTGTATCTCTTTGAGGTGAGCATAGATTGTGGTTGGGACATACAGGACTCTACTGTTGATGAGGTTCAAGAGAAAGGATTGAGTGAATGTTACCTAGTGTTACAAATTCGTGGTTGGCACAAGAATAAATTAATGGTTGACCTTACTAAGCTCAACTTGTAGTATATTGGTGCATTTTTAATTTTGTTTCCTTGATGCAAGATATGACTTAGCGGAGAACATCAGATACTAGTATTCTATTTGCTGTAGTTGGTTTGAATTTGAACTTGTTAAAAATATTCTGTATTTCTTTCTTTAGTTTGGTCATTTTAATTGTGATCCTTGGTCTTTACATTTGACTGTGGTTCTCAACAAATATATCATTTCAAGCTCAAAGGAGTCAGAAAATAACCGTAATGTTCTTGTTTTTTGAACCTTTGTACAAGTGGTTTGCTGCAATTTACTATGTTATTGGCATAGCCTGTAGAAAATAATTTTAGTATTCAACATTACAGGATTAGCAACCCCTGTTCCTGCCCAGCCACACTTCATAGTACCTGCTCATTCACCACAGTTTGTGCAGGGCAGCGGCTCAGATCAAACAACAGTTTGAGGTGATCATCATTATGTCATCTTGAGGTACATTAAATGTCCTACTTTACTCTGTGTTTTGTTGATAGTTCTTTTGTAGTGATTGAGATGGGTATTGCCATTTCAAACAGGTACCCTTAGATTGCAGCAGGACTAAGAAAAGCAGTACTGCTACATTAGTGGCACGCATTCTTGCCTTGCAAGCTATCATCTTTGCATTCTAGAGGTTAGTTCTTTTTGATATTCCACTTATATGTAAATGATTTGAGGAATTTCATATTACGAGGTTCTACCCATGGAGAATTTGATGATAAGGGTATGCCCATATTGCTTATGTTGATTGAGTAGTTCTGTTCCTAATTCACTGTCATGTAACCTCAAGAATTTTGTTATATACCACCTCTATGCCAATCAGCCTTATTCTATCATAATGTGCTATTCTAGGGAACATGCTAATGTGATGCTGTAATGGAACTAGCACACCAGCACACATTGACTTGCATGCATGTGACTGGTTTTAGCTGGTTTTCTCTCTCTAACTTAATCTGAACGCATTGTGGTGTAATTCTAACATTCAATGCTGGTTTAGGCCACAAGGTTATTTTTTATACATGTTTCTCTAACTTAATTCGTGGTGGATTGTAGCTACAAAATAGTTGAAATGTAATTTTTTTTAAATTTGGCATAATTAACCTTATCTAAGCATAAATCGTTTGAAATATACAGAAAACGACTTAACCATGAATTCATGAAAGGTTCAAAATCTTGGTTCCGTGCTAATATTGGTAGGCGACCTAACCTCTACAATGACAGTTCTTCACTCAGTACTGGTCAGAATGCTTGGACTAGAGTGAGAGGGGGAAGAGGAGGAGAGACAGCAATGACTATTGAAGGAGGTGGATGCCAAGGTGGAGTGGTGGTTGTGGCTGAACAAAGGGAAAGAGAGAGAAGAGGGAAAGTTTCAACAGCATTGCTGAAAACTACTTTTTAATTTTTTTACCTATTATTTTAATAATTTAGCATCTCAAGTACCTGATGTTGATGGATGTCAACAGCTGTCGATAGCAGATTACACCTGTCTAGACAAAATAAAATACACTGTTTCAAATTGTATTGGTGGTATCTCTCAGTTCACGTATTGGTCATCTAGTGGACTGGTAAATACCAAACCCTATCGGTCAATAGTATGCCCAGTATTTGGAACCTTGAAATCATGCATAGTTTAGAAGAGAGAGATGGATTAAGAGATAAAATACATTTATTTGATGATATGGAAATGTCAAAACTTCATCAAGATTAATGGTAGGCTCGGATGGCTTGACATCTGCCGACACCATTTTAGTGTTACCTACATTTGAGATTTTTTTACTGCTTGTCAAGTCAAATTCTTGGTAATGTTTAAATTTGACTCACATCTTAGTAGTAACCTTTTAAGTGTCGTGTTCTCCATATGTTGCACCAGTTCATGATGCACATGGACAATCTACGCTAGCCCATAATGGGCCTATTTATGAAAATATAACTTTTTTTAGTTCTATAATTTTTTTCGTCTTCTTTATATTAATGTCATTTTCTATTGCTATTCTATTATAAACTTGAGTACGAAGATAATTCTTAGAAACTAAAGGTTTTAGATTAAGTATGATTAAAACTGAATATATGAAATAAAATTTTAGTAATATTAGGAATATGCAAGAGAATATAGTTAAGTTGGATGAGTAAAAAGTTCCTTTAAGTATAAGTTTTATATATCTTGGATCAATTATTTAACGAGATGGAGGGATTGATAAAGATATTATTTATAGAGTAAAAACAAGATGATTAAAATGGTGAGGGATATTAGTAGTCTTATATAATTATCGGATACCTTAGAGATTAAAAAAAATATTATAAGACAGTTGTGAGATCAACAATGCTTTATTGTTTCGAGTGTTGGAAGTTAAGAAATAACATATACAAAAAGCTTTTGTTGCCGAGATAAAAATGCAAAAATGAATGTGTGGAGTTGCTAGGAAAGATAGAATAAAAATTATTTTTATTTGTAAACAACTAGGTATCATTTTGATAGAGGATAAGATGAGAGAGAATCGTTTAAGATGGTATGAGCATATGCTTATGAGACCTACGAATATGGTCGTTAGAAAAGATAAAATGATTTTAATAGAAACTAAAAAGAGGATGATCCAAAAATTTTTAATAGAAACTATAAATAAAGATTTAAATCTTCTAAACTTAATTAAACATATGGTTTTTTATAGATCTCAATGGCAATAAAAGATCCATGTAGTTGACCTAAATTGTAACACCTCGATTAGTCTCACATCGGAAGTGGGCAAGACTAAAGATTGACTTATAAGGGTCTGATGAGTATATTATTATTAACTTCAGCTTAAGTATTTTGACCAGTGGTTTGGGCCAACCAAAGTTGATAAACCAGCTAACTCATTAGGCCTGGGTCGTGATAATTGGTATTAGAGCCGACCTTATTTAGACATGGTGAGGAGGCTCGAGTAGGAAAGGGATACCCATATATAGATTTATAGGACTTGTCACGACGTGAAGCCACCACCAAGCTATGCCTCAAATGGACCATGCTATAACACCTTGATTAGTCCCACATCGGAAGTGGGCAAGACTAAATATTGGCTTATAATGGTTTGATGAGTGTACTACTATCAACTTCAACTTAAATATTTTGGCTAATTGTTTGTGCCAAACGAAGTTGGTAAGCCAACTAGCTTATTAGGCCCGGGTTGTGACAATACGTTAAAGATTATTAACAACCACTAGAAAAGTTATGCAGAAGGAAGAATGAAGAAGTTAGCCAAAGGACATTTGAGATCTTACAGAAGGTTGGACTTGTGGCAAACAGATTGGCATTGTCTTCAACTTTTGTTGGCAATTAAGAGATACTACCATTTTTGTAGAGTAGCCAATCTAGATCTTGAAAAGAAAAGAGTATGTTCTGAGGAATAGAGTTATATATTTGGTAAAGATTTGTTGGTAGCACCATTCAAACCAAATTAAGAATATCATTAGTTCTTCGATGACATCTATGCTTTAAAGTGTAAGGACTTTGTGTCGATCTTACCATGCTTCAATCATTCAATTGCTTACTGTTACATGTATTTCAAACCATTCTTACTAATATTTCTTGATTTTTAATCCTATGTACTCAATTTATGATTTAACTAATATTTTGTTCATCTTTGAGTTGGCATTTATACTGTGCAGCATTTTTTCTGCTTGAGTTACCTTTCAAAATATTTAGATGCATTCAAAAGGATGATTAATTATTTCATCTGGAGATTCCCTGCAGATGTTGCATAATTGATTATTTGTGACGAGTCAAAGGCCTATCAATGAGGAGGTTATTGTAAATTTTGCAGAATGTTCAGAATTATTTTCAAGTTGTTGATCATGTCATTGTAGCAAAAACAAGTCCTATTTCATAATCTCTTCAGGCTTGCTTACATGTCATTGTTGGAGTTCACGCATCTAAAATTCACATCTTAAGATACCGAGAGAACCTGCCTGATCTATTTCATAGTTTACACAAAGGAGCATGTGGATTCTCTGTTCTATCTTTTGCTTTAGTTTTAACATCAGCACTTGTTCCAGTGTTCTCACATTTAGATCATATTTGCTCCAAAAAGGAATGGATATATATATTTGTATATATATATATGTATATATATGTATATGTTTATGTATATGTCATCGTCTTTGATGGTAGGAAGGCTGGAATAACAAATGATCTTGTTCTGCAGGTCATCCTTGTCATGGTCAGTCGCAGAAGAAGTCATCAAGTTGCTCCGACGGAGGGAGCTGGAAGCACAAGAGCGTGGACTGCTCTTTGTTGCACTGTTTGTAAATTATCTTGCCCTGCTGGAAGTTGTGATGGCAAGTAGAGGAAGAACAGGTGGATGCCTGGACCAAGCATCCAACATTAGGTGATGGATCTCGGGGTTGGAGTCAGAGTTGGAGTCTGATGATCCAAGAGGGAAGCCTTGGTGTGTCGAGGGATCCAAGTGATTCAAAGACGAATCTAGGTGGTAGAAATCGCTGTTCCCATGTCATGTGAGAGATTCATCTTCTTTGGTGTAATGAATAGTGCACTTGTAGATTCATAACACCAGTTCCTTATGGAGTCTTTCATTAGGTAGATCTAATGCCATTAAACGAGATGGCCACGTCAACAAACAGTCTCGGAGGTGGCATGGAGACCATCCCTTTATTTTCGTGTTAACATTCATGATTGTATCAGAGTGGATTCTGTAGTGCTTCACTGAGTTCTTGTGCGGTTGGAAGGCTTTAACAGGAACTTTCTGCAACCTGGGACTCAAAACACAACTGGTATCAGATTTCCACGAACCGAATCAGGAAGGTGAGTTCATGGCTTACTGCAAATACGTAGTGTTGTGATGGGTTTTTGTGGGGTTGGGTGTACATCTTGGTGAAGTTTTTAATCACTAACTCAAGCGTGTGTGTGTATATATCTATATATATATATATATATATATATATATAGCAACACACACATGAACATAAGCCAATGGAGGTCGGTCACTTGACACCTGTGGAATCATCTTTGCACTCATCATCCACAGTGAGTATACTGTGTAGAATTCATGATTAGCCACCCTAACTTCGCACTACAAACGAGTTTTATTCGTCCACTATAAACAGGCCGTTTTTTTTTTAGGCTCATCAATAGCTAATATATATATGGTGAACAGAAGCTTTGTTGATCTCAACATAGACTGACAACCAACTGCTATTCCATTATCCTTCGTAGGTCGTTGTATCACCAAAAACCACAACCGATTCAAGTAGCAGATGACTCACCTGAACAGGTAAAAAAATGACTATAAAGAATAAATATCAGATGAGTAAACAAAACCAACCCACAGGCATAAGTCAATTACAACAAGGTCGTGTGACCAGAAAAGTCGGTACGTATACAATTACGTGAACAAAGTGACAACATCTCTCCTATACCCCCTAACTATCAACATCCTCGGCACATTTTCAACTAAGAGATCCATATACTCCATGTAAAAGTACGCTGGGTGGTTTAGAGGTGGTGGTGGGAGGCTGACAAGCACGACCGCAGACATCCGTGAGTATCTCAGAATGGTCGAGTTCAACTTCAGGGTCGTGTAAAGGAACTTGTCAACCTGCTGCTCATTCACCACCACTGGCTTCCCATCGGCCATTAGTGGTTTCCCTTCATTCCTAGCAGTCTCCTTCATCTCAGCTAGGTAGGAAGCAATTCGACGTTGTGCACCCGTGAATGCCTCCGCCGATTCATCCTGCTGGTCCCCCGCATCAACATGTGCCTCCCATGACTTCATTGTTATAACAATCACCTCAGCCTGCATGCGGAGGTCATAAAGGAACTTCTTAACATCAGCCTTCAGCTCTTCAGCCTCTGTGTCCTCTTCGGCAATGCAGAACACCTGAATCTTGCAGCTCTCAAAACTCTCTTTTGTTAGAAGGAGCTGAGATAGGAGAAGCATAAGGCCCCCATCTCTCACAATCCAGTATAGGTCAATTGTTCCGTATTGTCTCTGATATTCGCCGGGCCATTCATCAAGGCCCTTGACAATCACGACTGCCTTGTTGGCAATAATGCAATCATTGATAATGCTGACAAAGGTGGATGGAATCTGGGTGAGGTTTTCACGACGCCAAATCTCAGGATATCGCATAACCACAATATTGGGCTTAAGGTTGCCTAGCCCCATTGTCTGGACAATACCACGAAACCCATCAGACATTGTGGGAGCAACTATGATCTCAGCTACTCCTTCACAGCGCTTGTAGTCTATGTAAGTGCTCATCTGACGACAAGCTGTCTTTGCATCCTCAGCTAATTCATGATAGTCACCATCGATAATCGAGACAAAGATCGACATCCCGCGACCTTTCTTCTTCATGCAATTAGCAAAATCTGCAAGCTTTGGATGACATGGAACATTTTCTGGCAGCTTTCCCCATGGCCGACAGAAGATGAGGGGAATAGGGTACCAGTTTTTAGGGTGTACCTGGTTTGCTTCAAGATAAGACAAACATAATAAGTTAATCATGTAATAAAGATAAATTCTAAGAAGACTCGTAAACAAATTCATGCATTTTATGGTAAGTGGAGACTTGACAATTCTTTAATAGATAAATACAAGGAGGGCATCAAGTTGCCAATATCACAATATGAAATTCAGAGACAGTTGTGATAAAAAATGGCATGTTTCATGCAAAATTTGGCAATTCAGTTTCCGTGACAGAACAGGTGAAAACATGGTGTCACTATGAAGAGAAATGTTGTAATATCTTTGGTTAGTTTCAACCAGACCAAGTTATGTAGACAACTATCATTTGCAAGTTTGTGCTTCCCGAGGCCTTTGTATATTTGCAAAAATGGCACATAGATACAGAGGACATAAGAAGGTCAGAAAACGTAGCAAACAATCTCATTCATGAAGCAATGATGATATTGATAACATATCTCTCGTGAATGAATGGAGCATGTGACATATTTGTAAATTGATAGTTGACAATAAACTTGAAGGTTAAACAAATCAGATGAATGATTATGAAATTATATGCATTTTAACATGCTGCAGATGTGCTGTATTGCCATTGTACAGTGCAGGGTCAAATCTTCAGACACATTCCTCTGAACCATACAATAGTGAACAGAAAAATTTCTTAGTCCAATTATCTTGCTTATCTTTTCCAGGGTCTTATCTCTCTGGAGATGTACTTTAAACTCTCTTTTATTGTAATTACAGATCGAGTGAGAGAGGTTGTTGGGTTGATCCCTCAAAGGACACATTCCCTCCATCTAAAGATAACTTTTATTATGGTATACTTCACAAATTCAGAATGCAGTATTTGACGCTGATGTTAATGGTACACACACTAAGTACTGTCATTGCTATATAATACCATTTCATGGTGCACTGAGCAATCAGTGATAGAACATTTTTTCTCAAATCATCATGAAAGCAGAATAACATGTAGGCATACCTCCCAGTGATCGAAGACTGCGAAGGGCCAGTTGAAAATAGGCACTCTTGAATCCATCTCCCCAATCTCCAGCTTTCCCTTTTATGCTCACATAATAATAAATGAGGCTAGCAAGGGCCAGAGACACCACAGTGAATGACCAGGAGATAAGGAACATGATCACTGGATAAATAAAAAAAATCTTAGATATGAATCAGTTTATTGGACAAAAATAATTCATCCATGCATATCCTACATTTCAACTTTCCAACTTTAAAAGACATAGATTTTATATTTTTATTGGTTCTTTTAATATCCCCAAGAAAAAGTTACTGCATGAAGAAAGAAACAGCTAAGGAATCTATACATTTTTTACTTAATGCTACTTGCCATGTAGTGTTTTTTTTTTTTTCATACGGTAAGTTGTGCAGGCAGGATTCTATCCCAGGATTTAGCTAAAAGTATTTGTTTTACTATTTCCATTTTAAAAATTTGTCAAATGTATTCTGACATTATTAATGTTTAACCATTCAAATCAGACCATTAATATGACTTAAGTTCTCTTTGTGGCAAATTCTTCTTTCATAGTGTAATGATACGTTCACACAACAGCTTACAACCTGATGAAGAAAATATGTACTTCAGCGTTTGAAACACAAACAAACAATTGAAGGAAACATCAGACGATATCAATGGTCATATATAAGCTTATATAAAATACTCTAATATTTTATTTCAAGTATGCCACGAACGCAAGAAAGCAAATGCTTCAACCAGTTAATTGATCCACAATAAATCACCAATCAATCTTAGACAATCTATAGTCAACTTATGGATTGTCATCATCAATTGCTCTTGGATCTCAGTCATTACAATTTTCACGCTTTGGATCCTGTCTTCCTTTTCTTAGTAACTCTTCTGATACATATTATCATTTTATCCTGATTTTATGCCTTGCCATGCTACCATTAATATAATCATTGGCACAATAACCTGGAGCTTGTAACATTTTGCATGTCTATCCTGCTAAAGCTCATTTTTAGCTGAAATTCGAAAACAAGAAACCGTGCTACCCTTCTTGCACCATAAAAATCTCCAAAAGCATATTGGCTATTTTTGACTCAAAGTTGCCTAAGCAAGAAGACAACCTACCTTTTTTACCTAAGCAGCACACAACCATAATCATTCTTAAACAAACCATAAGCCAACTCATAGATTATGAAAATAAAATGAGATCTACGTACTAACCTGATTTTTATTAATTTAAAGTAATTATTCCAACATCAACATCATTATAGTACAGTTGCTATAGCCATTCAATTGAAAGCAGTCTTGGTTAGAAATCAATAAAATGTTTTTAGGTGCATAACTATAACATTTAACTGGTCACATAATGAGAAATGGCATATTAAATAGATCTAAGAGGAGGCTTTAAATGGTCAAGTCCTTAAGATCAAGCAAATCTTAATAACTCGGAAGCGGTAGCAGGTCACCGGTTAGTTGAGGAAGATAATACTTGATGATGAGTAAGCACTATCATGAACCATCATTGTAAATCATGCCACCAATTTTCTATAACACATACTTGAAACCTCTAAAGGGTATTTGGCTATTACTAGTTTCTACATGCCAAGTATCTCTTGTTATGACAAACCAGATGCTTGGAAATGTGTCTATAACTAAATTATCAGTTCACTTCCATATAATACTGCAGCTAACAAAAAAAACAAACTGCTATCTTATAAATGACATAATTACCATCCAAAGATTTCCATCACAATCCTAAAATATTTGTCACATTTTTATCTTGTCATATCCACAAGAAAATTTTCCACATTGCTTTTCCGTGATTCTATGGCCAACCAGCAGTACTAGTGGCCCTAAACTTGCCTACTTCTTTCTGTACACTATAACTTGATCTAACATAGCTACTTCCATTATGCTACAGTTGGCATAGCTTATACAAGTTTATTCCTGGGACACGTATCAACATCTAGCTTGCCAGATGGTAGAGATGATAAAGAAATATCCCGAACTTATGTAACATACCAATGCACATCAATGCTCCAAGAAGTGAGAGGCTCCAGTGATGAAACTTCCATCTAGGGCGCCAGCTAGGAGCATCAAGCAGGTCAAGAAGGAAGCAAGACAAATTAACTCCCGCATAACATAGAAGGAAGAACATAGTTATAGTAGGTGTGATCAGATCCAGGTTCCCAATCACAACACAGCAAATACAAATAAAGGCTGTAAAGAGCGTTGCCAAATGAGGTTCTCCCCCTTCTGTGACCTTGAAATAATTAAGAACAGGGAGAATGTCATCATTTGCTATTGCTGCAAGCAGGCGTGGGGCACCTGTCAAACTCTGAAGCGCTGCACCTAAAGTGGAGAGAACAATCCCAACATATATAATTGCTGGAAGGGGCCAAGCAATCTCTGCAGTCAGAAGCCTGCACAAAGTTCCATATTAGAAATTCAAGCAAAGAAATAAGACACAAGTAACTTCAAACAGATATATGCTTTTAACTTCAAAGGTTAGAGAGCCAATGGCATATTAGCATTAGCCAAAACCATAATGTTAAATTGGTATGCAACAAAAACCAACTAAAATATAAGATTTCAGAGAAGAAAGCCAAAATCCTATGATCCATTGAATACAAGGTGGTCCATGATCAAATGTGCGCAACTACAACAATACTCATTTAGAGGGTATATTCGTTACTACTTTGAGTAGTTTGACGATTGAGAATCATTTTTTTTGTAGAGATTCAATTGGATTAATAATTTAGTTAATAAGACAAGTGTTGAGAGTTCTAGATGTTTTTCCTTATAAGAAAAAGATCTTCTCCCATATGTTTTAACTAACGATCTTAACCTAATAAAATGCTAAAAAGGTTTTTGGCATGGAAAGAATTGTTGATAAATTTATGATAAAATTAATCACAAATACATCAATATTTCTCTTGTTTCTCTCTATTTATGTAATGCTTTAGTTCATCAACAGTCAGTAGAACAGCATATACCTACCAATCATCAGAATATTCTACAATAGCTGTTTCTCCCAACAGCAAATCTATATTTATAATTAGGTACATCATAATGACTTATATCATATATGCATCATATATAAGATCCTAACCATCACCCTGGCATTCCATGTAAGTTATCGTTCCAATCCTGATCCATCACCAATCTAATGCTCTGAAAAAAAATTAGCAGGGTGAAATGGTGGTGGTGCCAAACTAAGGTTCACATAAATTTCAGATCAAATGAAAAGTGGATACACAGGCAAAAGACCACAGAACTTCATAGTTTTTGTGTCAAATATTGTCATTCAAGACCAAAACAGCACTAGGAAAAATGTGGTACCGGTTTGTCAGTAGCTCTTCTCTAGTGGCCAATGATCCAAAGAGTAATACTGATATCAAATATAAAAAGGAGGTGGTAAGTGTTGCAGCCAATGTTCCAACTGGTATAGAACGCTGTGTATCCTTCAACGATGCAGATCGATTTGAGCCAGCCATAATTCCTGTTACAGCTGGAAAAAATAGGCCTACCAATGCACTACAAAAAGGATAGAGAATTTCAGAATGCCTATACGAAAAAAGTTAAAACTATAATATATATCAAGGAATTAGAAGGCGTCATAGTTACATGCCAAGATGTATATCAACATTTGTTACAGTCACATTTCCCCAAAGTAAACAAAATCAACTAGTAAATCTAATATCTAACATTTTAAAATTGAATAAATTATGGCGTCACCTGATTTAACATTCACTAATAAAACCTCTGAAAACTTAGAAAAAAACCGAACATATATATGCAGTAAAGGCTTACTTGAAGCTCCAATAGACAGGTCCATCTGGTTCAGGTATTCCAGCATTTGTAGTACGTTGATAAGCAGAACTCCAATTGTCTTTCAATGTTTGTGATCTTAACCCTGTTATGCCACCTGTGCCCAATTCCAAAGAGAGCAACATAGGCATGAGATACCATAAAAGAATTGCAAGTTCATGTACATCACTTCATGCAAAGTGAAGTCTGAAAAAGACTGAACTTTGAAGTAGTAACTAAGATAACCATATGCATAAAGAAGTATTTAATAAAGGGATCTTACTTGAAGCATTACTCCTTGGAGCTGTGAAGGTTCCAACAAATATGCAGAAAAGTGAAAAAAGGACAGGAATCAAGAAAGCCGGTGCTACCCTATTTATAATCTTGACACCACCAAATACGATGAAGCAGAGAAGTATAACCACAATAACTCCATAAACTTGCAGGTCATGCAAGCTTGGAGTAGATACAGTTGTTACTACCTCAGATATTGTGCCATTAGCTGCTGTGGTATTGCTGACGACTGTCACAGACTCTGAAAAAAAAAGAGGGGACAATCCAAAAAACAATTTAACAAGACTATGCAGACAATTAAGTATATTTATCAATGATTTTCAAGTACATAACATAATTCAAGATCCTAGTTAAATATTAAAACATGACTAAAAACCCAATCAAAGCATCTCTTGAATTGTTATTGGAGCTTCTCATAGTTCACGAAAACTGATCCATAAAAAAACACTCTCAATCCCTTTTCTTCACTAAATGCACTTCCCCAAGCAATATTGTTTTATTATAAAAAGAAGCAATTTCATGTGCACCCTCTAAATGTCAAAACATCTTTATCAATGACATTCAAGGACATATCTGTTTTGAAAACCAAAAAAAGTTCAAAATACCATCAAATATGCCCATGCATTAGCTTCCTTCAAATGACTTGGTTAGCTATGATCAGGTTGTGAGTTAGATCAAGGATCCACATGAAGTGGCTATTGGCACATGCCATGCTAATGCTATGCCAAGTGCCTATATAGGCCTGCTGCTGACACAAAATAGAACCCAGAACAAAGGAGAAACAATAGATAACCAGAGAAAGAAATATATATACCTCAAACAGAGGGGCATCACTATTAAAAAAGTTCAGCCCAATACACAAGTATCCATCAAATCAGGGCTTGACATTAATTCTAGAAACCCAAAAAAAAAATCAAAAGACCTTTGGATAAGGCAAACATGGTGTGTTCCGCAGGGGGTTATTAAAACAAATAGCATGTTGGCACAACATGTTCAAATTTACACAAGTTAAAATTACCACCTTGGCAATCCATTTAAGCCACCATTTAAGCCTTTGACTTCTGACCAGCACATGTAGTATACATGTGTCTAAGGCAAACATGGCAAGGTCCGCAGGGGGTTATTATACATGTAGGATACATGTGTAGTATTCATTTTGTCTGAGGCAAACATGGTAAGGTCTGCAGGGGGTTATTAACACAAATAGAATGTTGGCACAGGATGTTCAAGTTTACACAGTTGAAATTACCTCCTTGGCAATCCTTTATATGCCACCATTTAAGCCTTTGACATCTGACCAACACATGTAGCATACAGGTGATTAATCTCTGATAGCTTGTCATCTGGGCTTGGCCAATCTTGATCCTAGCATGTGCTAACTTGAATGGTCTCATCATGTTGGAAAAGGAAGATAGAGAAAAAAGCAAGAGAAAGAAAGAAGGTAAGCATTAGATTGGTGGACATCAAGAGCAGTGAAGAAAAAAAGCAGAGGTGGTAGGAAATGCGAGAGGGAGAATAAGTGAGGACAACTATTGAGCAAATGGCTCATAATCAATTAGATACAAATGAATGGGAGATGTGAATGATTCTTAGCGAAACTTATCATGTGTATTGGTAATCATTGTATTTAAAACATGAAGATACAATTATTTAAGGTGGTAGACAGAAAAAAAAAATTTTAAACAAATGACCTCTATATTATTTATATCTAAATGTTTTGACAATCATTGTGGGTGCCCAAGCCAAAACACGCTCTAGAAGCTAGGCACCTACCCAACACCAAATCATAGAGGGCCCCAAGGGCTTCAGATTACTTGGCTGCCTATTAAACTTCATGATGGCATAGCTACACTTCTTGCCAGCATTTCATAGTTGCCACATTTCAAAATCTGTGATTATTCAGGAAAAACTGACACATTGTGGATCTTGACTAAGCAAGGATATGTAAAGCATGAGGAGCAAGAGCTCCCAAAAGATTGCTTATCGGAGATTTATAAATTAGTTCCAAAGAGCAAAGAGCTAACAATGATATTATTAAACATCAGATATGCTAACAGCTGAAAAAAATCCAATAAATTACTCATTGAAAATGTCAAGGACAGTCATGTGGATGGCAAAAACAGAGTACCTTCTTGTGCTAACTAAGAGCCCACAAATTTGAAAATTGATATCCCTAAAAGGTTTTATGCTTAGTGATCCTTTACTTTGTGATACCTTCAGTTATAGCCAGCTGAAAGTCTAATTGACTTTCCATCTATACTAGTTTCTGCATAAATTCTGTTGGAATAGTGTATAATTCTATCACTTCCAATATATGACAGTAATTCATTAAAGGTGAGTTTGGTATTTTAAAGCTGATTGTATTTAGAAGATGCTCTTATGCTAATCTAAAATCAAATATACATATATTATTTAAAATTTAGCAATCAAGTATCAGAAAGAAAAAAAAAATCACATATCTTGCATGTTTTGGCCATTACCTTAGTTACACTACCTTCCAAAATTGTTGACATCCTACTAAATGTCAAATAAGTACATTTTCATATTCAAAACCATTTTTTCTTACTATGTAACTGCCATTTTTCTATGAATTCTCCATGACAAACTTATCAGATGATCTGGTTAGATTAGCATCTAACCAGTCAACTCCCATATCCAATATGGTGATCTGTGGTATGAGCACTGAATTTCTATACTACAAGCTTTTTTCAAAGCAAAAGCTTAATCCAATTTCCACAACCATCATAGTGGTTTACCTCTAAAGAATCCAGCACCTGGCACAGCACCCAAGAAGGTCTCCACAGCTCCCAAAACATACCTGAAACAATAACAGAGTTAAAATAACTAGATTCCAGAACTAGGAAACCAAGTTACCATAATTAAACAATCTAAAAACACTACTTGCATCAAATATCCAAACTTAAAGGCAATATGTATGCGTTGGTTACTCATTAAAAAAGAAAACTAAGGAGAGCTTAGGCCTAGTTGTTCTCATGGCACCTATAAGTTGAATTTGTTCATCTCTCCTCAATGTATGTAGTTCATATTCTTTAAAGATTTCTTATTGGTCTTCATCTTAATCACAGAAACTGCCACTTACAACTTGCCAGCAACATAATCTTTTTTTTTTAATATCATATTCATAAATGTCAGATTCAGAATCCTATTCTCAGCAGTATTAACTTTCTGTGATGTTTTCTTTCTAATTGTCCTATTTGGCTCCTTAAAACATAAATAGTCTGATAATTTCCTTGACAAATCTTCCTTTTTTACTTTAAGCATCCTTCTCTTATTTAATGTGACACTCTCTTTTTATCTCTTCTTGAATAGTGCACTCCAGTAATTGAAAAGTTCTAAATTTTGGCATTTCTTGAGAATCTATTATTTATGTTTCATTTGTTAATTACAATTTGAGAGTAATCTTTGAACCACATTAAGATTGCTCCTCTTAGCAAGTGCAAGCTATCACCAACAGAGATAACAAAGCTGAACTATAGATACTGTTAAAGGAGAAGAAAGATAACAACTTGAATTAAGCCACAAGGCCTTATAATCACTCATGTATGTAAGACTTGTCAAAGAGAAGTTTCTGTTTTCGATACAACTTATACTAATGAGATGACTCATACATGGGTCAAGAAGTAATGGTGTATCCAACTCTATAAGGAGAAGTTCAACTTAATACTACTTGGAATAGTAGAGGACGGATACATTCCCAACCCACTTGTTATAAAATTTAAAAGGAGGAAGCAGAAAAGGCTCCTCACCCACTTGTACTGGTAATAGAATATGATTCGATTTCTTTTTGATAGATTTTTTTTGTTACTATTGTTTCATTAAAATTTTACATTAGTATTTTACTATTTTGTAAAAGTATGACATTATTTTTTGTTACTCGTACTGGTAATAGTTTAAGGTCTCCAGAGTCCTACTATGTAATAAAGGTATGAAATTTATTTTTTTATTAGGATTTGTATTGGACAGTCTAAAGTTTTTATTTTTGGTGGAACTTTTAAAGATGATAAAACTTCCAAAATCAGAACTTTTTCTCCCATAACTCACATATATTAGTGATTATATGCCTTGAAGGCAGAGAAGAAAGATATTTAAACTTTAATCTCTTAGAGGTTCCTCTCTCCCTGAAAAAAGTGAAACTCCAGGCAAGAAGGGCAACACCTAGCTCAAAGCTATCATCTGACCGTTTTTTATATGTTCATTTCTGACAATGACATATCTCAATTCTTGATATTCCTACATTTTTCATAAGCTTAATATCATGATTTTTAGGCATCAGCTGCTTCATGGACCTCTATCATTAACTTCCTTTACAACTCAGACATCTACATAGACTCCCCAAGCAATTATTCTTTTAATTCTCAGAAAGCAAGAAAATATGCATGCATATTTCACCATGAATTTGTAAGGCATATGTACCAAGGCATGTAAGCTGACAACAGCTTCACGCACAGTATGTGCCAGTAAATAATATCTAAGCACCATAATTGCTTATGAAACACATGGAAAAAATGTGTAATAGAACAGATCAATGTGTGCATGTGGCTCCTTGATCTTGTACCTTTCCATTTTAGCTTTCAATAATATAAGATTCCAGAATTAATTCATCTTAATATCCAAAACAAAGGCATTAATCAATTTACTATGTCAATTAGCACAGCGAGTTCATTCTCATTTCACTTGGTGCACATTTAAAAGGAAAAAAGGTTAACTCTAATTTCATGTCAATATCATTAAAAAATTTTCATTAGTTTAATTTAAGGACAAATATAAGCCAAGAAACCGTCAGCCCAAATTTAAGTAGAACTGTCAAGGCAATCCATTTCTGAATGGCACCAAGTTCCCACCCTAGGTAAGTTTGCCGAACTAATAAAAATGAACAAGAGGGCTGTCTGCCATTGCAGGTTAAGCTCTCATCTATGGGGAACCAGGAGTTCAAACTTATGTTTAGACTTTGTTAAAGTCAACATGAATGGAAAATAATGTTTTATTCGTTCTGATCTCTAAGTAATCTATGTCAAATAATCAAATGACAAGCTTTCCACCATAAATAGTCTTATTTGCAACATGTTGATACCCATTTGAACTAAAGCATCAATTCTTGCAAAAAGGGGCACAAGTCACTCAGATGTTGTCATCTAAGACATGATTGGGCAGACAGATCTGAAAGTGCAAAACAAAAGACAGAAATACAGAAATATAAGAAGTTAACCCAAGGCAGACTTACATAGCACCAGCAACTGCGTTACCAAGGAAGAAGCATAATCCAATACTCACTCCAACTTCTGGACCCAGAGCCCGACCGATTAGATAATATGGGCCACCACCCTGAATGATCATAGTAAATGAGAAGAAAATCTAATCCAAAATTGATATGCTAGAAAGGTAACAAGGATAATTTTGATCAGCAGATACTATAAATTACAAAAAAATAAGCCCATAAAGAAGATGCAACTGATTATCTAAGGAATAGCATATTCTGTTAGATGTTTAAGTTGGTATTCATGATTCGGCAAGTTATCAAGACCAGATTAATTTGACAGTTCCCAACCTTGATTAACTGTCAAAAGTTGTTCAACTTGGTGTACAATTTGTTATAATCAGACAAGAAGAATCTCTAAGCACCCAAAAAAGAGGTTTAGCTATATTATTAGACTTTTCCCAACTGTTACTTTCATGCATCATGGAAAATGCCCATTCCAGATAATACCAGGTCTACAAACTCTCCAAGCCACAGCAATATGTAATAAACCTAAATCCGAAACTAAAGAACCACAGATCTTTAAAACAAGACAAATAAACATTTCTCAACCAACAAAATTCATAAACAATGAAGATAAAGTTTACCTTCATTGCCCCATTTGTTGCAATTGCACTTAATGATATACCCGTTAAAAAAGTGCAACATCCGCAGAATGCAACCAGTAAAAATGCCTCACCAATGCCAGCCATACCCACAATCCTACAGAAACAATAACCAAATATTGTCAGCTTACTAAGTTCAAATGCAAATGAAGAGAATGAAAATGTTAAAACTGAATGCTAGAATTATGCTAATTATCAACTTATAATCAATATTACTTAAAAATTTATGATAGTGATAACAGATATATAGTCAACAACATAATATGTTTAGTCAGAGGTGTATATTAAAATCATTGGCATGTAAGTAAGGAAAAATGAATAATAATCCACTCAAAACTGAGCTCAATGCTCAAAGGGCACAACTTCCACATTGTCACAGGAGGCAGCCTATTCAGGTAGGAAGTCAATGCCTACATTTTAGCGAACACCATCTAGGCATCAGGTCAGGTGATCCGACAAGCAGCTAGATGGGGTTTGAGTGGCCACCTAAATCCTTAAAGTACACCTTTTCCCCTTTACCATAATTATTACATAAGTAAAGAGTAATATAATTTCATCCAAAAAATACTATCATGATAATGAATGTATTCTTTGCTCAATTACACATGCTTTCAAAACATAATGTATGAATTAATAGAATTATTAATTCCATTTCTGATTGGTTCTACTCAAATTTATGTTAGTACTTTAATTGCTCTCACAAACCTAGGACTATGATAAGAATACTCACATGACCTATACAAAATACTTAATGCAAGACGACTTCACATGATAAACTGTATGTTTTACTAACTTACAGATTATCAGAAGTATTGACATTATTTTTAGCCTTTAAGCCACAGTAAAGTTGCTCCTCCTTTTGCAACCCAGGTGACCAAAACTTGAATCACGAAAAGAACCTTACTGCTTGCAAGGTAACGCTACATATAGTGATCCTCCTCAAACCAACAATGGCACAAGCCTCATGCTCTAGGCAGCCCATCCATATAGAACTTTATGTATCTTTTATGGCAATGTTTCTGTGCACCCACCTGCATACCATTGGCAGGACACTCATGCAGTGCACTAACCTTTTCTATACCAAATCTATATAATTCTCAAGGAAATTTTTTATGCATTATCATGTGCACCCTGGCCTCCTGCCTATGCATTTAAAGGGTTAAGGCCTACTAATTACACTCAGTAATTCAAACTGAGAAGAGAATAAGGTGCTAACAAACAAAGTCTCCATTATTTGATGAGATTTACAGAAAGGGGACTTAATACTAACTGCAGACAATGATGACCCGGCCTCCTGTCTATGCATTTAAAGGGTTAAGGCCTACGAATTACACTCAGTAATTCAAATTGAGAAAAGAATAAGGTGTTAAAAAACAAAATCTCCATTATTTGATGAGATTTACAGAAAGGGGACTTAATACTAACTGCAGACAATGATATGATGCTATGTTGCTCAAACTTGGATACAGCGTCATGTACGGAAATGATCATAGCATCTGACATGGTCATCCTATTAACTAAAGATAGAGGGATACAGTAGAAAAAGAATCAATTTAAAATAAGATATAGGGATAAGAGACCAAATCAAAAAATATTAAAATATTATATAACATATTTCAATTATAATATTAAAATGATCTAAAGTTAACAAAAACATAACTAAACATAACTTTTCTTTCCTTCCTTTTCTTTTTTCTCTCTTCTCTGTTCTATTCTTATTTTTCTTCTTCTTTTTATCCTATCTTTATTTTCCTCCTTTGATCAATGGATGGCCAAGATGCTGTAGGCTGATTTTCTGTAAGGCCTTGGAATAGATTAGATGTTACTGAATCTTAAGTTCCATCATCTGTGACATCACCTCTGTCTCTCTCTCTCTCTCTCTCTCTCTCTCTTGCTTTTTGTGAGTGCACACGTGCATTCAACAGTGTACAGTAGCATGTTGGCTATGAGAACATCAATGGTAATAACTGCAGAGAAACTATGGCAGCAGCAAAGGAGGGTCAACCATCTCCTCCTACTCATCCACCAATTTCCATTCTTTGCTAACAAAGGATCAGCAAGAATCTGCTGATATTGACTTAAGTTTGATAACTCTAGCTGATTTTTGGCCAAGTTGGGTCAATTCCCAGCTGAGTCTCAGTTCAATTGTTTCCAGTCAAATCTGAGTCAAAGAGCATACCAGCACTAGTAGCATGTTACATCAACATTGATTTCAAGGGCATAGATGCCAAATCTGAGCATCATATATGTAATGTATCAGAAAATTGATGAAGTCATAAGTAACATCTTAACAAATGGAAACAGAAAACAAGGTATTCCCACCAAGACACCACAAAATGAAATTTATCAAAATTTAAATAGTATATTGTGTAACAGGTAAAGAGGCTTCATCAAGTAGCCTCAGCACAATGATTGCACTTCATACTTAATAACAACAGATTTTGTCATGTATGGTAGCCATTTCTTTTCAACTGCAATGGATAATAATTGGTCTTGGTTTCAATAACATGTAATATTATTGCTATAATAAAAAATACTCTTTACTTGTGAGTTGTGCCTATGCTCAGTGAAGTTCATTTTGCCCACTATTTGTTAAAAAGCCAAGTAAATCAACACAAGAGGTAAAATATGAGTGTCCGCTACACTTCATCATTGTATCATAAAGATAGGAAATTTTTGAGATCATCTTATCATTGTTGCCTCAAGTCTCTCCATCACAATTGTATCTTAGCCAAAGGGGAGACCAGTATAAGGAAATAATCATCAAATTAGCAAGATAAAATCACTCCAATACTTAAATTGACAAGTTATATTCTAGAAGAACCCTTAATGTCAATGTTGTGATCATTTACTTACGAGAAGCTTCATGAAAAAAAAAACCTACAGCGTTCATGCTAAAATCAACATTCGACAGGGAAGTGAAAGTATAATGCACTTCACCAGGAAAAACGGATATAGTATATGATTCCCAAGATGTTCTGCAAACAAGGTATAAACACACCCATCATAGTCCCCAACTTGGGGCCAGCAACCTGCAGAACAGAATTAAGTCCAACTAATATGCTAAACATAAATATATTTGAAGTTATGTGCAACTACAGTAATCATCTTAAGATTTGGCACAAAAAGATTATTGTACTGCAGAAACATAACAATAGAAGGGCAAAAGGACAAGGACAAGCTACTAATAGGAGACTTCATATAGTTTAAGTACAAGGTATGCAATACCGTACCATACCGGTGTTTCGAGGTTGGCTCGGTATGGTACGGTACCAGCATACCGAGCGGTACACCAGTGTGTACCGAGCGGTACACTAGGGTGTACTGAACAATTTTATATATTTTCTTCTTTACTGTAGCACTATAGCACGTTCCGTCCGATACCGGTCAGTCCGCGTACCGGCATGCTATCGGACCGGTAGGTACCACCCATACCTAGCACATACATAGTTATTGATTAGAACAATATGCTTTGACACTATAAATAAGTGTCGAGCTTGGCTACATACATAGTTAAAAAATACTATGGCCTTCTTCATTCCAAGGTTTTAACTTTTAAGTACAAACTGGACCAGTATATACAGATTGGTATATATGATCCAATCAAGTACCAATACTGTAACAAATGTGTTCACATATGGATATATACCATTTACTTATTTTCTTAATTATTTTATTCAATAGTAGGAGTCTTGTATATTCACCTTTTTATATACCTAGCAGTATAGGTCAGGATACCTCCTGACATTGAACTGGTTTCTAAATCTTTGCTCCATACCAAATTCTACTATCTCAATTCTAATGTATTAGTGTATCCATAACTTGTCAAAAAAGTATCCAGCATGCATAAGCATGCTAGTGCATATTGCATAGTATAATGCTTAGTTAGCAGTAAACAGAAAATAAAAAACACAATACATTAACTTAATGAATCTAGTTCACATTTAGACATCCAGCATTGTGTAATATCTAACAGCAGAACTTTTATTTCATGTAAAATTGAAAAAAAAAAAAAAGAAGGCTTTGTAGCTGTTGAAATATTAACATGGACATTGAATGAAAAGTAATTGACTTAAACTGGTTAATGGATCATATTTGTCAATCATTCCTTTGATAGGCTTCTAATGATGTTGCTGCAAATAATAGATACTTTCTCACAACATTTAACCCAGGTTACCTTTAACCTTTTCCTCCTCTTCCATAATTATTGGAAACCCTAAAAGCTCCTTAAGCAAGAAACCTCAGAACTTCCATGTTACATGGCCAATTAGTCATAACCATCATTGATTGCTTCCTTCATTTATTGGTCTTTGAATAAACTAAAACCTACACCTCTTAATATGGTGCTTACTCATGTGTCCTTCCTATTCACCACACATCAACCTGAACATGCTTTGTGCGTGAGTAGAAATTTCTCCAGGCTTGCAATGCTTTTCTAGTTCATCCTGCTCTACTTTCATTAGACTATTTGTGACCAGAAAATTAAATATTGGTACCAATACAATGCTGGAATGTGGTTGGACCAGCATGTGATGGTTGTTATGGTGTTGAAATATACCCAAAGATTATATAATGTCATAATTTGGCTAAAATTAACACCATCATACCAATACCCAGTCAGACCAGTATGTACCAGGTGAAATGACAACACACAAATTTCAATTTAGATATTGCTTGTTCAAAGACCAAACAAAGACCAAAACCTAAAAACATATTTGCAATGAAGTAAGGCCATGGTAAAAAAATGGTGCACGAGGATCCCACCAGGTATAGGATGGGTCTGTCAATATAGGCAACCTTATCCATACATGTAGAAAGACTATTACCGTGAGAACCTAGATACAAGTGAAAGAAGTTTGCTTTATTGTATTGATCAAAATCCTCCAGTTACCATTTCATTATGCAGAACTTGTAACCATTTCCTGCGAAGCTCCTAGCATTGTTCTTAGATCTGAATCAATCATGTTTTGTCATTACACTATGTTAATGATAAAAACAATTTTGTTTTCTTACAGCTGTTTGTACCTCTTGCAGCTTCCATATCTATTATACAATAATGAATAATGTTCTCAATTTTTTTGTCTGGATGCAATTTACTAGCTTCTGATCCGTAATGTTCTTTCATTATGTAAATCAAGGTATGCAATACCGTACCGTACCGGTGTTTCGAGGTTGGCTCGATACGGTACGGTACCATGTACCGAGCAGTACGCTAGGGCGTACTGAGCGGCACACCTAATTTAGGTGTAAAACTCTCCGAAAATACCTGAAAATAAAAAAAAGAAGTTAGGATAGAATTTTTAAGTTAGAAATAAATATAGTAATAGCATAAGTTTAGCAAAATCAATGTAAATTAAGTAAGAATAGTATCACATATCTTTTTCGAGCTTTGAAGAATATTTTGTGCAAGGTTCGTATTTCAGTCCATTATGAATTGTCCTTATGTAAACATACCTGTTGATTAGAAAGTTCTTCCTTTTAATCTTCCCAAATTAGCCTCGATTCAATTCACAAATCGTTGTTTTGTAGAGTTTAGGAGTGCACAAATATGAGAAAAAAAGAGTTTGAAATAGTTTAAGAGAGTATGAGAATGTAATGAAGTGAAATAGGGAAGAAGAAGGATTTAAATACTATGAGAAAGGGCTCCAACGGTCAATTTGACCGTTGGAGCACTGTATCATTGTTACCGAGCGGTTTTAAATATTTCTTCCTCTTACTGGAGCACTGTAGCATGTTCCGTCCGGTAGCGGACGGTCCGTGTACCGGTATACCATCGAACCGGTACGTACCGCCCGTATCGGGTGGTACTATTCGAAATTGCATACCTTGATGTAAATTGCATAAGCTAATATGTTGTAATCATGCTCTACCAAGGTATGCAATTTCTAATGGTACCGTCCGGTACGGGCGATACATACCGATCCGACGACATACCTGTACACAGACTGCCCACTATCGGGTGGAATGTTTAAAAGCGTCCCGTATCGGACGATACGGGATAATATCGGGCGGTAACGGTCGAAATTTCGACCGTTACCGCCTGGCACAGCTTGGTAACAGTCGAAATCGACCGTTACCGCCCGACACAGCTCGGTAACGGTCGAAATCGACCGTTACTGCTCGATAGCAGTGCTATAGTGCTCCAACGGTTAAATTGACCGTTGGAGCCCTTTCTCATAGTATACCTTATTCTCCTCTATTTCACTCCATTACATTCTTATACTCTTTTAAACTATCTCAAACTCTTTTTTTCTCACATTTGTGCTCTCTTAAACTCTACAAAACAATGATTGAATTGAATGGAGGTTAATTTGGAAAGATTAAGAGGAAGAACTTTCTAATCAAGAGGTATGCATTCTCTCTCTTTAATTAAAGAATAATTAAGAGCTTTAATATTATGATTAGTGTGTTTAATATTGATTAATTCAAAATTAGATACTTAATAGGTCAAATATTTATATTTAATATATATTAAATATTAAAAAATATTTATGATAATAAAATAAGTTTAATTAGATTTTATTAAAGTTATTGAATGCTGCGATTAGTGATTTTAATGATGATTTAATCGAAATTTATTCGATTTTATATCAATTCAATGTCTTTAATACCTATTAGGGTATTTGCCATGTTTATAGTGTTGAAAGAGAAGTAATTAGTGATAAATTAACTAAGTTAATCATGTAATTAGTGTATCTAATGATGATTTCATCATAATTTGAACTATATTGGATCAAAATTATATATTTAATACTTTTTTTATGTGTTTGACATATATATGATGGTAAAATAAGTTTAATTAGGTTTTATTAAAGTTATTTAATGCTGCGATTAGTCATCTTAATAATGATTTAATCAAAATTTGATTAATTTTATATCAACTTAATGTCTTTAATACCTATTAGGGTGTTTGACATTTTTATAATATTGAAAGAGAAGTAATTAATGAGTAATTAACTATGTTAATTAGATGATTAATGTATCTAATGATGATTTTATCATAATTTGAACCAGATCAAAATTATGTATTTAATGCTTCTTTTATGTATGTAACATATTTATGATGATAAAATATAATTAGTTATGTTTTAATAAAATTATTTAATACTGCGATTAGTGATTTTTTTATCGATATTTGATCAATTCAATATGTTTATATTTTATAGTTTATTTGATTTAAATTTGGTAAGATCATGACACCAAAGGAACCGCCACATGATGATGCATGGGTTCATGCCCGCAAGATAGATGGGAACTGTCATCATTGACAATGTATTTATTGTGACTACATTGGCAAGGGTGGAGGAATAACTTAGGTGAAAATTGATCTGGTTGGCGGGTATCCTGATGTTGCAAATTGCAAGAACATTCCGACGGAGATCCGTAAATTATTTCAAAACAAGTTACAATAAGCAAAGGAAGATACATTAAAAAAGAAAGCAAGCGTTGAAGAAGAATATTATAAGGCTACACAGGAACTAGTTTATGATCAATATGAGAGTTGCGGCGATCAAGTCGACCCGGATCTCATAATTGGGATTCGTGAATCATTGGAGCATCAGTATACGGTCGATGAAGCAATGAGACATCGACGACCTGACTCACAATTGGAGCATGGCAGTGGTAGTGGAATCCAGAGGTTGGCCAACATGAGGCAGCCAACTGCTCCTTCTCAGTTAGGCCGAACTAGTAGTATGAGGTATGGTGGACTCCGTGGTTTTATGAGAGGTCTTGGCAGGAGGTCCGCACCAGATATTGTTGATATTGATCCACAAGCTTATCCCCCACAAACAGCGAAACAAATACGGATTGACGATGCATACAAAAAAAAAAAAAGGGATATTAGGAAGGCAATCTCAAAATGGTTCAACTTCCATAGGATTCCAGTCAACACAACCCAAAGTCCATATTATCAGAGCATGGTCTCTTCTATTCAAAAGTTTGGCACGGGGATCCAACCTCCAACATCAAAAGAGATTTACGGCGTGTACTTAAATGAGGAGGTGGCAGAACTAAAGGATTTGATCAAATCCTTCAAGAGGCAATGGGACGAATATGGGGTGACACTGATGTGTAACAGTTGGACAGGACCAACAAGAATGAGTATCATTAACTTTCTTGTTTATTGCAATAGAAAAGTGGTGTTTTATAAGTTCGTTAATGCTTCTGAAAAGATCCAAGATGCAAACTACATTGAGAGCTTGATGGACACTTTAGTAGAGGAGATTAGACCACAGTATGTTGTCCAAATAATAATAACCGACAATAGAGTGAATTTCAAGAAGGCCAGTTTGTAATTGATGGAAAAAAAATATTATTTTAGACTCCATGTGCAGCTCATTACATAGATCTAATGCTGAAGGATATTGGTGAGCTAGATGCAGTCAAGAATTGTGTAGCTCGAGCACAATCAATTACAAAGTTTATATATAATCATCATTTAGTCCATGCTTTAATGCAAAAGTATGTAAACGATGAGATACTCCGACCTGGAATTACTCGATTTGCTACCAATTTTATTGCATTAAAGTCATTACAACAAAAAAAACATAGCTTGAAGGCAATGGTCACCTCACAAGAGTGGTCTGATTCTATATATTCGAGATTGAGCGATAGAAAGAAGATAGAAAAGTCCATTCTTTCCTCTAGATTTTAGGAGACTACAGTAGAAATCATAAAAGGTATGGAACCACTTTATATTGTCCTTTGTAAGGTCGATATGGACAAGCGTCCACAGATGCCGTATCTTAAATATATGTTGATTTCAGCAAGAGAGAAGGTCAGGAAAGCATTCAAAGATGATTTTAAGGCCGACCAATACGTACGGATCATTGATCGTCGGATTGAAGTTTATATGGATCAAGATATCCATAATACAGGTAAATTCATATTCATAATAATTTAATTTATTATTTTTTAAATAATAAAAAATCATACTAACAAAATTATGTCTTGTAGCGTATTATCTAAACCCGACAATTCAATATCGATATACTCTCGGAATACAAAATAATTTACTAACAACACTACGAAATGTTATATATCGACTCTTGCCAAACACTACTGATGCAGTCGATGCTCCTATGGAGGGTCGATTATTTCGAGAAACAGTTGGTTCATTCTCCGACGTTGTAGCTGTATCGTGTCGTTACACTATAGATCCTGGTGAGGAAAAGTTACACATATTGATTATCAATTATATTTAATGTTAATTATTTATTATACTAATAAAATCTTATTTATATCTTTTTGCAGTCGAGTGGTGGCTACAATTTAGAGGGGATGTACCACATTTAAGGAAGGTTGTCGTTCATGTATTTTCACAAACGACAACATCTAGTGGTTGTGGACGTAATTGGTCAACGTTTGCATTGATTCACACGAAGGTCCGCAACAAACTCTCCTACAAACGATTAGAGAAACTAGTATATGTCCATTATAGCATGCAACATGCTGAGCTAGATAAGGAGATAGAGGAACCATATATTGATCCCATTGACCTCCAATTCTACAACGAAGATTCAGAGCCGATGTTAGATTGGGTTGAAGCAGCAGAGAACCAAGAGGATCCTCTACTTGATGAGGTGGGAGATCCTCAGCGTCTTTCACATTTTATCACCGAGGCAATAGAAGAAAAAGAAGCACAACCCCAACAGGTGGGAAATCCCCCTCGATCACAACGTGGTAGGAGTCCAACAACATCAAGTCAAACTGCTCGAGGAACTACAGACACCCAACGATCACAATCATCCGCCCAACGTGCAAAGGCAAAGGGGAAGGCAGTAGCATCAGTTGCATCGTTGGAAAGAATCGAGTCGGGTGACGAGACACCTTCACAATCACATTCAGCAACTCGCTCGGTCCAGAGACATGATAGAAGCACGGACAACAGTGCCTCGACGGATGATGGCGGTGATGTCGGGCAGTCGTTGGTCTCGTCTACACAACTTGAGGGTGGTGCATGGACCGAGGAGCAATATTTTACACATGCCACCCAAAATTCAGATCATGGAACTCGACAAGGTACTGGTCAAGTTTATGCGTGGAAAGGGAAGGGGAAGGCAGTGGAAGAATTTGAGCAAATATGACAGAGCCTACATGATGTAGACACAGAAAGAAGCTCATCGTATTCACACTCATCGTATTATGGAGAATCATACGGGTAAAAGTAGTATGGTGATAGTTGGTCATCCTTCTCTGAGCAACAGTATGATACAGAGCAGTAGATCAATAGCGAAAGTAGAAGCTCTAACATTCACCAATATATGCCTCGAGAGCTGCCTCGGACAAATGTGATTTATGACGATCAGCCTACGATCAACACCGCATTGATGCATCAATAGCATACGGTATATCAATACACTATATCATGGGATCAATTTCATGATTGGGTCCAACAAACATATCATATTGATATGCAGATGTATAGGATCGAGGACCCCGATCCACCACCCGTGGAGGCCCGTCGTTCGTTTTGGTGGTAGAATCAACAATCAAGTATATCTACATATGTGATTATTTAATTCATTTAAATTTTAGAGTTTATATTGTAATAAAATAGTCTAACAATTCAAATGATTTTTCTGTAGATATTTCAATATTTACATAAAGACAATCCGTAATGGACTGTCCGAAAAAGATATGTGATATTATTCTTACCTAATTTACATTGATTTTGCTAAACTTATACTATTACTATATTTATTTCTAACTTAAAAATCCTATCATAACTTTGTTTTTATTTTCAGGTATTTTCAGAGGGTTTTACACCTAAATTAGGTGTACCGCTCGATACACGGTACCGTACCGTACCGAGCCAACCTCGAAACACCGGTACGATACGGTATTTCAATCCTTGCTCTACCATTCTCCTCATAAATTATGTGCTTTGTTAATACAAATTGAATAATGTGGAGCACAAGTCCAGATCAACTTTTAAGTGAGGGTAGGGCACATAAAAGCATCCCAAGTAACCAACAAATGCATTGTGAAACTGTTCTAGTCTATCTAGCAAGGACATTCAATGTCTTCTGAACAGGCAACATTCTTGGGTAATTAACTTACCATGACAAAAAGAATAAGACGAAAAACAGAGAATAAAATATGACAAAAGATAGGAGAAAAGATAAACAGGGAGCAGTGAGCAAAAAAAGGAGAAACAGAAAGCAGTTAGCCTCTTTTAAAATCAGCCTTGCAATAAAAGTTTATTCTTTTTCCATCTCAAGATTGGAAGCAAGATAATGATCATCATCAAATTAGGTCCTTTTAGGCAAAGGAGCAAAGAGACAATCTTATTTCATTAAGATCATGAAATTAGTAGAAAGAAAGAGAAACAAAAGAAAAGAGGATAAAAAAATATATAAAAAGTTTTCCAACCTCTGGTTCACAAAACAAACAGAAAGAGATAAACTATATAAGGTTAGGAAACCTCCTTCCCAATCAGTCAGTAAATCCACCAACAGGTGATATATTTCATGCGCGAATTTAGAAAAATATAATATAACTTGTGCAAGAAAACCTACAAACTTTTTCAACAAACAAAAGCAAATACAAAGTAGCTGTAAGCAAAAGGTAGCAAATGTACCTTTGGGCCCCCAAGAGTAATGGATACATCCTCACCATCTCTGGGACTTGACGGTGTTGGAATTTGTTCCCCTGTCATACTGTAATGACTTAATCAATTAAAAAATTAAAGAAAACAAATATCCATATACCTAATGACTAACCCAAGGTGTAAAATTGCACATTATACCAATGATATTATACTAGTCAAACAGGGTAGTGGTACACCAGTATCATGGAATACCATCCATATACCAGATTTGAACTATTTCTTAATATCTTTTGGGTCTTTTTTGGTAAAATACTGATACGTGCAGATCCAACCAAAAATTTAAACCTTAACTCAAACCAAAATATCAAACATGCAACTATTGTTATGAACTTTTTATGAGCATGAATGCTTACATCAACCGGAGAAAAAAAAAAACTGAATGCAAATATTAAAGAAAGAAAGATGGCGACAGTATCACGTACCTTTTGAGTCCCAATTTGTTCACAAGAGAATCAAAACCAAATAGTTCCAACTTTGATTCCCTCTGGGAGTTGTTGGATCCATCATGACCATGGGAAGGTCCCTCCGTTGCATTAGGACCATTCTCTGATTGTGATGACATCCTAATATTCCTAAAATAAATATGAATAAAATTTATTACTTTGTTAGCAATCCACAGGCAAAATATTGTAACAAAAAAGTAGTTGTAGAAAAATAAACAATAAAAGAACAAAATATATTAGAGAATACAAAAAACAAAAATATTGTAGAATATATATTCTCTAGAATATCCACAACACAAAATTTAAGGCTAATATGTCTGAAATAGTAAGCGAAAAGACTGTGTTTGACCAAAGCAAGATCTAAGACAAGCAATACTAATTACCATGGTTTACCTTACCGATCTGTACCAATGTACGGACCAGCTGCCAGTATGGTACATAACGAGCTGTACCGAGTAATATCAAGCATACCAACACATAGTACATGAAGGCGTACCGATGTACCGGTCCCCTTTCGGACCGGTATGTACCGCCCATACCGAGCAGTATGTCACGGTATGATGAACCTTGCTAATAACTAACTTGAGACAAGGAATATAAACTTCAGAGAGATACACATAACGCACAAATAACCATGAACTCATCAGAAACGTACCCTATTACTTCTGAAAAGATCTCAATTGCATTCACTTAATTCGTAGAAACAGGAGATTAAGAAGGCCAGTCACATATCACTATACAAGTTATAAGCTAAGCCTAATGGAGCTTTATATTGAGGTTTCACGAAAAATAAAGAATTCTGTTCTAATTGGATGCCAACCTAGTCTTGACCTTACTGATCATATTCATCTTCGAGCATAAATGCAGCCTGCAGATGTTGATAGTATGGGCAGAACCCAGAGAGTCAGCAGCTCAGATTCAGCTAAAAATTTGACAAATTGATATCTTATGCGTTAACAAAAATGAAACTAAATCACTGTTAAAATGTATATGAGAATTTACTCCGATCATTTGAGTTAGGCTCAACTAAGCTTGTCTCAAGAGACTAATCTATCGCAACAAATAAATTATCTATTAAGGTGCAGAGCTAAAGCATAACCAGCACAAAACATAATATCTGAAAAACATGGATTAATTCTACTGTCATCCTTTTTGTGCCTTGCCAAAAAGAGAATTAGTTTTCAAGAACCTTGAGAAGTGAAACTGCAGAAGAATTTGATCAATAGGGGAAGCCAGTTCATCAAGCACTTTTGAGCAATCTAGAGTATGCTGTTGATAAAATAATAATTAATGGATCCATATATGCACTCCCATCGTGACAGACTGAAGATAATCATCTCCAGGAACATTATATATGTAGCATTATCATTAAAATTTTCTTAGTATAAAATTGTTACGAGGTTTCAGTTAATGAAGATAGTTGCAGCTGACATGCATTGCGCTTATCCTATTGCATCAAAATGACCATAAATCTTGCTGCTCCCATAATAACATGCAATTGATTGTGCTTTAATCATAAGTAGGTAAGAACTGATAAAATAGAACACTTTAAGCTAAAATTTCTTTAAAGAAAAAAAGAAAGGTTAAGTTTGCAGATCAAGTATACTCTGGATAAAAATGAGAATAAAACATAACCAACTGAAACAAAATATCTTGCAAAGTAATTCCTACAAGATAAAAGTTGCATGAATAATTACTAAAAAGTTCAAATAAGGAAATCACTTTAGTTGTATCTCTGTAAGAGGACCAGAATCCATGGAAGTCATTTGGACAACAGGTGGATCATGGGAAACCACCGGTCTGTACTGCCGTCCACTACGTGAAGTAATTTCCTCATCTGCACTCTCAATTTCACCATTCTCCATGATCAACTATCTGATTGACAGTTTAGCAACACCTGTAGCACATCAACAGAATTAGGAATAGAAACCTACTCATACATATGAAACTGATAGACAAAGAGAGAGGATGGTTGCAAGAGTGGGGAAGGAAAATAAAGCTTGCCCTGTTGAAAGTTCAATTGAGGTTTAGGCGGGGGCCTGGCTGCCGATGCCTCAACTAAGGCATTCACCTAGGGGATGCCGTGTCTCGCCTAGGGCCTCTCGATGCACTCTAGTCTCACCTAACCTCGTCAGTTCACTTTAGCAAATGCCCAAGTGTCTCTATTACCCATTTTTTCTAGTTAGCAGTTATTATTCTTTATTCTTTATTTTTCTTTTTTTGTCTTTTCCCTTTCTTCTGCTCCTGTCACTCAATGTGGTTACCTGCCACACTTTTTTTTTTATATCCAGGAAGCCACCTTTCACAAACTCACATTCCAAAGAGTTCTATTATTTATTTAGCAGGAGTGATGTCAAGGGACTCTGGGTTTGTTTAATGAAATTGAATTATTATTTTAGTTATATTCAATATTTTATTAAACTTGATTCTGACATATTGATTAGGTGTACTTGAATCGAGTTATAGTTAATTAAGTTGGACCATTATAAATTAATTAATTACATGCTTCCTTATTGGCCATTTCTGGTGGAACTTCATTTCAGAAGGTCACTTCCTTTGAAACAACAGCTGTTCGATGTCCATAAAAGTAATAACTAGATAGGCAACCAAAGACCAAATGTTTAGCAAGTGTGCACCGAATCATATCTCCCTTGACATGAACAATAGTTGTCATGGAAATGAAGGAAATAGGAGTAATACAAAGTTTTCGATCATGTCATACTTTTGCTTTTTCAATGAAATATTGACATCAATATCGACCACAAAAAGGTATTATTTGCAATCTTAATTACTGATAACCTCGACTATACGTTGGAATGGACCTCCTCTTACATCATTTATTAAATATATTTTTATCTCTATTCTATTATTCTAAATATCCCAATCTTGTGCATATGTCACACTTGCATGATTGATTATACTTCATTAACTCAACTTCCCTATAACCATTATCTTCTATCTATCAACCATAATCATCAAAAAATCTTCAGGAGATTTCTTGATTGAGAATCAAATCTTTGAAAATACAAACAGCTATCTAAAGGTGAACAAGCAAAATTATGGAATCATTACACAGAATAAATCCATGAAGCATGGACCGAAACATTTTAGATTTACAAGAAATACACAGGAGGTACAAAAGAATATCACCTCGATCAGTGGAATTTTAACAAGGATATCCTAGAGAGGGTATTCTTCACAAATTAAATAATTATTTCATAGATCTCTTCTATCAGATATCCAATAACTTGTCATTTGTGTTATGTGTTTACTACATCACCCATGCGTTAGATGTTATCAACGTTTGTTAAATTTCCTTCATGAGACGCATGGAATTCTCATCAGCATCCTACTTTGAACAGCTCCGTGTTCGTGCATATTTTCGACAATGGTCGATAGATCTTACATCCTTCAGGCTTGAGTCAAGATCGGATCATAAATCATCCGATCCGGGTTGGTTTCCGCAGCCGACAACATGAGATTTCTTTTATACACAAGAAAGGAGGAAAGAAAGAAATGAGGATCACGTGGTATCTTCATTTATTTCATTGCGGAAGAAGAAGAACCAAGAGAGAAAGAAAGAATCGAGAGGAGAAAGAAGACTCACAGTAGGAACCACCGGAAGATCGCTGCCGATCCTCCCTCGGCCTTTGAATTCCTCGCCGTATCTACGCTCCGACTAGCAGGCACGCCTGCCTTCCGGCTTCTTCCCCGTCGTTGAGATTCCACGAGCCCCAGCGCTGCTGCCTCCCGCTTCGTCGGCGACAAGGACGGAGCCCCTTGGCGTGGAATTGGAATTATAGAGATACATAACCGCATCATTAAAAGACTCCCTCAACGACGCGATCTTGATCTGATCTTGACCTGACTTGTGGGTCGGCCATGTCATGTCGGGTTCGAGCGAACGACGTCGGATGCGAGGGTCTCTTAATTGTGGCGGCTCTCTTAATTGGAGATTGAGCTCCAGTTAATAATTCTATTATTAAATAGGCCAAGTTTGACCCTTCCTCCATATTTGACGCGTTGACCAGATTAATAATAAAGCTAATAACAAACCACTTCTTTGCGAATTAAATAATTAGAATTTCATCAATAAAAACGGGAGTAAAATTAAGCGTATTTAAAGTTTAATCAATCAGATAATAGGAGATAAAATTTGATAACATTAGGTACGTTCAGCTGTTTAATATACTATATATATTGCAGCTCAGTATTCATATGAAGTACATCTTTTAATGGTTAAAAGAGTAGTGTATCAATAATGGTCTTACCCGTGATATATTTTCTTAAAAATAAAGCTTTTTCCCTTTTTTAATTTGACAAATTCTCAAAAAATTTATATTTATTAAAATTTCTCACAAAACGTTGTTACTTTGAAAAATTCTTAAATAATGCTACAACTTTACTCTTTTAACCCTTAGATAACAGCTAAGCTACTATTTTCCCGCTCACAACAGTGGCTTTTTCATTTCTATTCTTTTTCTGTCTTTTATCTGTTTGAGCGTTAAGTTAAGAAAAAAAAAAAATTATATAAATACATTGTTGTCTTTGTTACTGTTTAATCATTTAATTTAATAGTTATTTAGACATGATACGATGTATGTAGGGCTTAGAATATTTAAAACGCTTTCTTTAATAAATAAATAGATTGGTATTTCAATCCTTCACATTAAAATGAGGATTAAATATAAAAATTATAATAACCAATTTTACCATGTAAAGGATAATGCAAGGAAACTATTATATTTTAGTGGAAATGTGAAAAAATGAAGAAAAAAAAAGATGTTGAATAATCCTTAAAAAAATGAAAAAAAAAGTCTTTAAAATAGAAATTTATCATAAGTATCCATCTGGGTGCAATGCAAAACTTTCAGCAAAACTTCACAACATTTTGACCATTCTTGATATTCAATATATTATTTTTTTTAAAAAAAAAAGCTTTAAAATAGTGTATCATATTTCCATCTTGGTTTTTGTAGCTCAAACTTTTACTATGGGATTATCAAACATAAAAAAATAAATTAAAAAAATATAATAGATGTTCATCTGAGTACAATGTATCAGAAAAAATTTTAAATGATTTAGACCTATCCTTATATGTGATATTCTGTTTTTGATTTGACTCCAAAACAGTATATCCTTCGTATACTAGAAAATGAGTTTCTTGGACCAAATTTTTACCGTTGGTTATCCACCTTTTTTGGGTAGAAATAAAAAATAAAGAAAATAGAAAAATAACAAACTATTCAAATTCTGAATAAATCTGAAAAATATTAAAATAATTATTTAAATCAGAAAAAGTTTGGTGCAATGCAAAACTTTTATGAAAATTTCAAATGATTTGAACTAATTGTTATATGCGATACACTATTTTTTTATTTGACCTCAAAAATAATATATCATACTGCAAGACTTCAATTTTGTGGACCAAATTTTTAGCATGTATTGTCTACCCATTTAAGATCCCAAATATTTAAAAAACATTGAATAGATCCATGCCATTTTGGTGAAAATGAAAAAAATATTAGAGAAAATAATAAATAATAAATTATTTAGAAGCTAAATAAAAAAAATAAAAATAAATATCTAAATTAGAAAAAAAATATATGATAGATGATATGTACATATGGGTTCAATGGAAAGTTTTCATAAAAAAATTAAATGATTTAAACCAGCCCTTATATGTGATACATTATTTTTTATTTGACAAAAAATAGTGCATTATATACCAAGACTTTAATTATTTAGATAAATTTTTACCATGGGTTGTTCACTTATTTAGAAGACCAAATGTTAAAAAACATTACACAGATCTATCATATTTTGATGAAATTAAACAAATAAAAAAATAAAAAAATTGATAAAATGTTGAGATGTCAAATAAATCATAAAAAAATTTGAATAAATTCTCTAAATTTCAAAATGTGTAATAGATATCCATTCGGGTGCAATGCAAAGCTTTTATGAATTTTTTAAATGATTTGCACTAGTCCTTGAACGTGATACATTATTTTTTTTTATTCTAAAAATAGTATATCATATATCAGGACTTTAGTTTTGATTTTTACCATTGGTTATATATCTATGTAGAAGATAAAATGTCGAATGTGGATCAATCTATTTTGATGGAAATGGAAAATATAGTTTGGGTGTCATTCATTTATGAAATCATGGTCTCGTTATAGCGACGATCCACTTTTTGATAAAGTATTTTTTGTTCTTGATAATATTGATAGTTAGAGATTAGGTGAAATATTATCTTTGGGTGAAATTTAATTACTAAATAGCTCGACACTTGTACCATAAGGAAAATTAGGGGCGATATCACATGTGCAACGAAAAGAACATAAAATAAAAATCTCAAAATTTTCAAATGGTGTTTATCGTCGTACGAAGATTGGTACATAAAATCTATGAAATTGAAAACCACATATGAGATAGTTGTCTAGAGAGATTGTATATCCCTGAATTCCTACAGATTTGTAGGAAAGGATGAAGGAGGTCAAGAGTCCTCCTTTCTAGTGGTGATCCACATGGTAGGGGCTTCGAAGACGCTCCTCAAATTGCTACTTAAATCTCCACACCTACTATTTGAAGAGGAGAAGGGAGAGGAGGATAGAGATGGCAACCTCCTATGACTATTTGATTCTCTCCTATTTATAAAGGCTCTCTATCAACTTAACCCTAATGGATCCTGCCCTATTGGGTATTGGATCTCCATCCAACTACCCAAGCCTCTTAGATTAGTAGATCTCTATCCAATAATCTCTATTGATGTTAAATCTCGGATTTTGATTATGAAGTCAATTGTCATTTGTTATCTAATCTATATGTTGAGATAAGTGTGCAGGATTAACTACGATGAAAGTAAGATATGCAGCAAGAGTTACGCCGGAGTCAAGACAATGATCACGTTGGGAGTTCGAGAGTTCGACGGAAGTTCGGACAGTCGTCGGAGGTTCTGCGGGAACAAATCCGAGAAGTCCATGAGCTTGCCAAAGAAGCTCGTCGGAACTCGCCAAGTGGATTGTCGCAAGTCTAGGAGTTTGCCGGAAGTCCGCAGGAGCATCACCGAGGGTTCATCGGATGATCGACGGAAGTTCGCCGGAAGAAGCGATTGACGCACCGGAGCAAGTTGCAGTAAATGTCTTAGGAAATATCGTAGTTAGCACAATGATTAAGTTTGAAATGGGAGGTGATCCCATTAACTTAATCTTGGGGCAATTGGGCCCTTGAAAATCCCAAATTGGGCCGAATGGATCAACCCATTCGGACCCTGATTTCTGCCAGGCGGTGGCACCGCCTGGGCTCAGTCTCCGAGCGAGACTGGGCGGTGCAACCGCCCCTGACAGGAGGTGGCACCGCCTGAGCTCGGTCTTCGAGCTCTGGCAGGAGGTGCAACCGCCTCAGTTAGGCGGTGGCACCGCCTGAGCTCGGTCTTCGAGCTTTGGCAGGAGGTGCAACCGCCCCTGACAGGAGGTGGCACCGCCCAGAGGCTCAGTCTTCGAGCTCTGCCAGGCGGTGCAACAGCCTTAGTCAGGCGGTGCAACCGTTAGATCCCGGAATTCCGGAAATTGACAGTTTTGAGCTCGGAATTCAAACTGTGTTGGGGCCTATAAATACCCCACCCTTTTAGCACTGAAAGGGCACTCAAACACACCGAAATCCTGATCTTATTCTGTGATTTTTAGAGCTCAAAATTGTTGTAAAGGCCAAAAGTTCTTCTCCCTCTTTTCTTCCAAGTTCTGATCTTTAAAGAGAGGAGAGAAAATTCTGTAAGGGTTGTCTCCTAAACCCGTCAAAAGGAGTGAAACTGTAAAAGGGTGGTTGGCCTTCGCCTATTGAAGGAAGGCCTCTAGTGGACGTCGGTGACCTCGTCGGTGGAGGAAGCCAAAAGTGGATGTAGGTCAAGATTGACCCAACCACTCTAAATCTCGATTTGCATTTACTTTGAGCATATTATCTTTACTGCAAACCTCCTCAAAAGCTTACTGCTTTCTGCACATATACGATTGGGTTTCAAGCTTTGCACTTTCCGAATCGGCGTTTAGACATAAATCAGTTTTATCGTACGATTATCATATTTCAGTTTGCGTTTACGTTTTTGATTTCTATCATAATTGCAAACTACCTTTATATCCTTGCTTTAACTGCATCTCGCTTAATCAAGTGATTTACGAATTAGCATTTAGACGTAAATCAATTTTTTCGTACGAATATCATATTTCAGTTTGCGCCTACTATCTGATTTGAACCATAACTGCAAACTGCATTTATATCTTTGTTGCATCTCGCTTAATCAAAAGTTAAAGTGATTTACGAATCGGCTTTCTTACTGAAATCACTTTTATCGAACGAACGTAGTTTTTTTTTAAA